CACATGGCTCACGACATCTGCGCAGTCTTCATGACGGCATGACTGCACAGCTGAATTTCCACAAGTCAAGTAGGCACTAGTTTTGTGCGGGACATGCCTTTGAAGATGGACCAAGGGTAGCCAGCCACGGACGCTGCCAATCACCAGTGCTGCTCACACAGAGCCACGGGCCATCGCCAGCAGCATTGACAACGAACCTGGTGCGTGCGCAGATTCGCTGCAGTCCGAGTAGCATGCGTGTGAGAACATCGGCCTTCGGCAACTCCTTTCCTGCATGTCGGCACGTGGCGGTCGGAGAGCTGCGCATGCGGACTGCAGCCCTGCGGGGTGTGCGCGGTGTGAGAAGCGCGAGAAGCCGAAGCAGCGCACGAAAGCATTGCGGCTTTGCTCGGCAACGGTTAGATTTGCTAGTCTGGAAACCGCTGTGCAGGCGGTGGTTGCGATGTCGGGTCATCGGTCCAGGGTCGGCTTGTCGCCTCAATAAAGCAGCTCCCCTTGAGCCCTTGAGCCCTTGAGCCCTTGAGCCCTTGAGCCCTTGAGCCCTTGAGCCCTTGAGCCCTTGAGGTCAGCCGCAGTGGGTGTGCAATAAAGCAGCTCGCTGCTGAGATGCGAGGGTTGGCATAGACCCGGCCATTGGCGTGGCAGTTTCAGGAGAATGACGTTAGCATATGTGATCACCTCCAGGCATCGTTTCAGGAGTCAGCTGTGCGGTGTGTGTGTATCGTGCGCTGCAGTACAGGTCTCTGGGCCAACTGAATTTTGTCCTCGCAAAACTTGGCAGTTCACCGCTGTGTGGAGGTCGAAAAGGGCAATATCCTTTGCCATCCACAGCACGCCGACATCGCACATGTGAGTCAACCGGAGGGCATGTGCTCTGGCTTGTATGCAGATGAATTGTAGTTGCAGCAGAATGACTTTGAGCGGCATGCCGCCAGCACCACACTGTTGTGGCAAGCTACTGCTGTGCGGCAGGCAAACATTGACTGAAGAGGCTCGTGTTTCTTGGTTTCACTTGCTCAGGTGACCTGAAACAACGTGCGGCTGCCCCGTGTTCACCTGAAGATAGTCCGGCCACCGCTAAGAAGTTTGTGGCATCAGCTGGCCAACTGAGCGTCGAAACCCGTAACGCATCCTAAAGGTCCCAGACCCTACTACAAGCCCTTGTTGATCCATTGTCTGGCCGACCTGCAGCTGATTGACGCGTGAGTCTCTGTACTTCCGCCACGGGTCTTGGACGAGGCCCCAGGCCCATGAGGGCCAAAACCAGCATAGCTCTTGGCTTGCGGGTCCCGGCATTGTGGGTTTCTAGGCTTTCGGGCTTAGGGTTTGGGGTGATGTGCCTTAGGATGGCCGCATTCTCACTGCTGAGAAGCAGGACAGCATCGAAATAAGAGGCACTAGGCACGTGGGTCTGCTTTTTTTGGCTCCCGTTGCCCGGCGGGCGTGAAACTTGGCATCACTTTGAGCAGATAGTCCGCGTGCCACTGCGAAGTCTCTGGCGTCAGCGAGCCGCATGACCTCTTCATCGCGCAAGCGTGCATGGCGCCGGCTTCTGCCGCCTTCCTTTGCCTGAGGAACATGCAACCTCGTGGAAAGAGCACGTCGCGTGCAGCTAAGATTCCGACTGCACCACGCTCAGCTGTTCTTGCTGTGCGTTTTCCTGGGTGCCTTTCACCGCTCGGAGCCTCTTCGTGAGGAGATAGCACCAGCGGCAAACGCTTGCTCGTGTGGGTTTGTCGTGCTGTTGTGTGACAGTCCTGCAACCACTCAAGTCGGAGGTTGTGCGTGGTTGTGCATTCAGCATTGGCAGCGAAGACGTCGATGGCACCAGGATGTTCCGTTCCCAGCTTTCGCCGGTTTCGCTTGCCGTTCCTGTGATCCGGGGCGTGCCTTGGCCGGGCGTTGTCTCTCGCAGTGTGCGTTGACATCGTGCAAGTGCGCGTGGCAATCGAGCTTCGCCGCTGGGGTGTCCGCAGGACGTTTCCCAACGCCACTTGCCGCAGAGCAAAGTGATCAAGCGCAGAAAGAAGATTGAGGCTGCCTCCATCACTCATTTGAGTCAGCCGGAGGGCGTGTGCTCTGGCACATATGCAGATGACGTGTAGTTGCATCAGAATGACTTTCCGCGGCGTGGCGACTGCACCACATTGTTGTGGCAAGCTACTGCTGTGCGGCAGGCAACCATTGACTTAAGAGGCTCGTCTTTTTTGGTTTCACTTGCTCAGGTGACCTGAAGCAACATGCGGCAGCCTCGTGTTCACCTGAAGATAGTCCGGACGCCATTAGACAGGTTATGGCATCAGCTGGCGCGCCTTTTGTCTTCGTGCCTTTCACCGATCGGAACGTCTTTGTGAGGAGATGTGCTTTTGGGTGTCGGCGCTGTGATGATCGGGTGATGTGCCTTAGGCTGCCCGCCCGCTGTGCTAAACATGGCCGCAGTCTCAGTGCTGAGAAGCAGGAAAGCATCGAAAGAAGAGGCACTAGGCACGTGGGTCTGTTTTTTGGCTCCCGTTGCGGGGGGGCGTGAAACATGCAGCTGCTTTGGCATCACGTCAGAGAGTCCTGCTGCCACTGCGAACTGAATTTTTTCCTCGAAAAACTCGGCAGTTCACCGATTTCTGGAGGTCGGAAAGGGCATTATCCTTTGCCATCCACAGCACGCCTCACCCTGCGGCCGACCATGCCCTCTGCCCTGTTGTCGGGGTGGACGCATCCCGCTTCATCGGGCGTCGGACACAGTTTGGCATGTTGCCCTGGAGCCACAAGCCATGTCTCCAGTTTCTCCTGCGCACAAGCTCCAGTGAGGCATTGTAGGCTTGGGATTGGGCATTACTGTTGTGCACACAAGGCCGGCCAAACAGTCAGTGTAGTGTGCACGCCAACCTTTTCGTGGCCGAAGCCATGCACATGGATACTGACATGCTAGCGCTGCCAGATGATGAGCAGTGGGTGCAGTTTGCGGCGGCTCCGCGCATTGACGCTTGAAGGGGCGCCATGCGATTAAATCTGCGATTTTCGCCATGCACCCCACAGGCATCAAACATTGACTTAAGAGGCTCGTTTCACTTGCTCAAGTGGCCTGAAGCAACGTGCGGCTGCCTCGTGTTCACCTTAAGATAGTCCGGACACCACTAAGAAAGGTTGTGGCATCAGCTGGCGTGCCTTTTGTCTTCGTGCCCTTCACGCCGTGATGATCGGGCGATGTGCTTTAGATCGAAAGAAGAGGCACCCGCATCACGTTGAGCAGATAGTCCGCGTGCCACTGCGAAGTCTCTGGCGTCAGCGAGCCGCATGACCTCTTCATCGCGCAAGCGTGCATGGCGCCGGCTTCTGCCGCCTTCCTTTGCCTGAGGAACATGCAACCTCGTGGAAAGAGCACGTCGCGTGCAGCTAAGATTCCGACTGCACCACGCTCAGCTGTTCTTGCTGTGCGTTTTCCTGGGTGCCTTTCACCGCTCGGAGCCTCTTCGTGAGGAGATAGCACCAGCGGCAAACGCTTGCTCGTGTGGGTTTGTCGTGCTGTTGTGTGACAGTCCTGCAACCACTCAAGTCGGAGGTTGTGCGTGGTTGTGCATTCAGCATTGGCAGCGAAGACGTCGATGGCACCAGGATGTTCCGTTCCCAGCTTTCGCCGGTTTCGCTTGCCGTTCCTGTGATCCGGGGCGTGCCTTGGCCGGGCGTTGTCTCTCGCAGTGTGCGTTGACATCGTGCAAGTGCGCGTGGCAATCGAGCTTCGCCGCTGGGGTGTCCGCAGGACGTTTCCCAACGCCACTTGCCGCAGAGCAAAGTGATCAAACGCAGCAAGACGATTGAGGCTGCCTCCATCACTCATTTGAGTCAGCCGGAGGGCGTGTGCTCTGGCACATATGCAGATGACGTGTAGTTGCATCAGAATGACTTTCCGCGGCGTGGCGACAGCACCACATTGTTGTGGCAAGCTACTGCTGGGGGGCAGGCAACCATTGACTTAAGAGGCTCGTCTTTTTTGGTTTCACTTGCTCAGGTGACCTGAATCAACGTGCGGCTGCCTCGTGTTCGCCTGAAGATAGTCCGGACACCACTAAGAAGGTTATGGCATCAGCTGGCGCGCCTTTTGTCTTCGTGCCTTTCACCGATCGGAACGTCTTTGTGAGGAGATGTGCTTTTGGCTGTCGGCGCCGTGATGATCGGGTGATATGCCTTAGGCTGCCCGCCCGCTGTGCTAAACATGGCCGCAGTCTCAGTGCTGAGAAGAAGGAAAGCATCGAAAGAAGAGGCACTAGGCACGTGGGTCTGTTTTTTGGCTCCCGTTGCGGGGGGGCGTGAAACATGCAGCTGCTTTGGCATCACGTCAGAGAGTCCTGCTGCCACTGCGAACTGAATTTTTTCCTCGAAAAACTCGGCAGTTCACCGATTTCTGGAGGTCGGAAAGGGCATTCAAAAAAAAACATTATCCCTTGCCATCCACAGCACGCCTCACCCTACGGCCGACCATGCCCGCTGCCGTGTTGTCGGGGTGGACGCATCCCGCTTCATCGGGCGTCGGACACCGTTTAGCATGTTGCCCTGGAGCCACAAGCCATGTCTCCAGTTTCTCCTGCGCACAAGCTCCAGTGAGGCATTGTAGGCTTGGGATTGGGCATTGCTGTTGTGCACGCAAGGCCGGCCAAACAGTCAGTGTAGTGTGCACGCCAACCTTTTCGTGGCCGAAGCCATGCACATGGATACTGACATGCTAGCGCTGCCAGATGATGAGCAGTGGGTGCAGTTTGCGGCGGCTCCGCGCATTGACGCTTGAAGGGGCGCCATGCGATTAAATCTGCGATTCTCGCCATGCACCCCACAGGCATCAAACATTGACTTAAGAGGCTCGTTTCACTTGCTCAAGTGGCCTGAAGCAACGTGCGGCTGCCTCGTGTTCACCTTAAGATAGTCCGGACACCACTAAGAAAGGTTGTGGCATCAGCTGGCGTGCCTTTTGTCTTCGTGCCCTTCACGCCGTGATGATCGGGCGATGTGCTTTAGATCGAAAGAAGAGGCACCCGCATCACGTTGAGCAGATAGTCCGCGTGCCACTGCGAAGTCTCTGGCGTCAGCGAGCCGCATGACCTCTTCATCGCGCAAGCGTGCATGGCGCCGGCTTCTGCCGCCTTCCTTTGCCTGAGGAACATGCAACCTCGTGGAAAGAGCACGTCGCGTGCAGCTAAGATTCCGACTGCACCACGCTCAGCTGTTCTTGCTGTGCGTTTTCCTGGGTGCCTTTCACCGCTCGGAGCCTCTTCGTGAGGAGATAGCACCAGCGGCAAACGCTTGCTCGTGTGGGTTTGTCGTGCTGTTGTGTGACAGTCCTGCAACCACTCAAGTCGGAGGTTGTGCGTGGTTGTGCATTCAGCATTGGCAGCGAAGACGTCGATGGCACCAGGATGTTCCGTTCCCAGCTTTCGCCGGTTTCGCTTGCCGTTCCTGTGATCCGGGGCGTGCCTTGGCCGGGCGTTGTCTCTCGCAGTGTGCGTTGACATCGTGCAAGTGCGCGTGGCAATCGAGCTTCGCCGCTGGGGTGTCCGCAGGACGTTTCCCAATGCTACTTGCCGCAGAGCAAAGTGATCAAGCGCAGCAAGACGATTGAGGCTGCCTCCAGCACCCATTTGAGTCAGCCGGAGGGCGTGTGCTCTGGCACATATGCAGATGACGTGTAGTTGCATCAGAATGACTGTCCGCGGCATGCCGGCAGCACCACATTGTTGTGGCAAGCTAGTGCAGCTAGTGCTGTGTGGCAGGCAAACATTGACTTAAGAGGCTCGTCTTTTTTGGTTTCACTTGCTCAGGTGACCTGAATCAACGTGCGGCTGCCTCGTGTTCGCCTGAAGATAGTCCGGACACCACTAAGAAGGTTATGGCATCAGCTGGCGCGCCTTTTGTCTTCGTGCCTTTCACCGATCGGAACGTCTTCGTGAGGAGATGTGCCTTTGGCTGTCGGCGCCGTGATGATCGGGTGCTGTGCCTTAGGCTGCCCGCCCGCTACGCGCAACATGCCATGTGGAGATGGAGGCTTGGGGCAACCTGCTGCTGCACAAACTTCAGATTGCGCTGCAAGCTCCAACGACGTGATTGGCATGGCGTCACGTGCAAGCACGTCTGCCTTGTCCCTGCGGGAATGCCATCTACAAGAGGCTCTGAGATTTTGGACTCAGCAAGTTGTCCGCGGTTTCTAAGCTGCGAGGGTTGGCAGAGACCAGTGGCATGGACCCAGGAGAATGACGTCATATGCTAGCAGCGGGTACATGACATTGCCAGGCTGCGTCCATCCGAATCGGAAGGGGTTGCTTCCATCCGAATCGGCCCAAATGCGTGTGCTATCGCGTGCCGGTTTGTTCTGCATGTCTGCAGAGGACTTGCAGTTCACAAATTTGCTCAGTTCAAAGAGGCGTGTGGCCGTTCTCTGTGCAGCTCGCCACCTGCAGCACAACAAACAGTCGTCGATTTTCATACGCTTGCATTGCAGGGCTTGACCGGGCAAAGCGGTGCAGCCGCAAACGGAGATGAAGCACCTGTTTTGCAAAGTTGGTCAGAGTGGAATGATTCACGCGCGGCACGCGGAGAATGCCATTGAACGTGGAATGATGCAAGATGGGCGATCCTTTATGCCCCGCCACAATTGGAGCAGACTCTGGCGTCAGCACGCGCCGCATGACCTCTTCATCGCGCAAGCGTGCATGGCGCCGGCTTCTGCCGCCTTCCTTTGCCTGAGGAACATGCAACCTCGTGGAAAGAGCACGTCGCGTGCAGCTAAGATTCCGACTGCACCACGCTCAGCTGTTCTTGCTGTGCGTTTTCCTGGGTGCCTTTCACCGCTCGGAGCCTCTTCGTGAGGAGATAGCACCAGCGGCAAACGCTTGCTCGTGTGGGTTTGTCGTGCTGTTGTGTGACAGTCCTGCAACCACTCAAGTCGGAGGTTGTGCGTGGTTGTGCATTCAGCATTGGCAGCGAAGACGTCGATGGCACCAGGATGTTCCGTTCCCAGCTTTCGCCGGTTTCGCTTGCCGTTCCTGTGATCCGGGGCGTGCCTTGGCCGGGCGTTGTCTCTCGCAGTGTGCGTTGACATCGCGCAAGTGCGCGTGGCAATCGAGCTTCGCCGCTAGGGTGTCCGCAGGACGTTTCCCAATGCTACTTGCCGCAGAGCAAAGTGATCAAGCGCAGCAAGACGATTGAGGCTGCCTCCAGCACCCATTTGAGTCAGCCGGAGGGCGTGTGCTCTGGCACATATGCAGATGACGTGTAGTTGCATCAGAATGACTGTCCGCGGCATGCCGGCAGCTCCACATTGTTGTGGCAAGCTAGTGCAGCTAGTGCTGTGTGGCAGGCAAACATTGACTTAAGAGGCTCGTCTTTCTTGGTTTCCCTTGCTCAGGTGACCTGAGGCCCATTGGCAAGCGTGGTGCTGGAGTTCTCGCGGGACGCCGGAGACTCGTGCGGGTGTCGGGGGCTTGCCCTACGGCCGACCATGCTCTTTGCCTTGGTGTGGGATGGATCCTGCATCACCTGGGCATTTGCCGGTAGCGAGTTAAGCCTAAGAATAACAGTTTTGCCCCACCCTCAGAAGTAGGCGTGAACACCACCGAAGAATTCATGCGATGAGTGGACTTGAAGTGATGACCTGAGACTTTCAATGCTGAAGCAACGCGCGGCTGCCTCGCGTAGGATAGTCCGGACACCATTAAGAAGGTTGTGGCATCAGCTGGTGTGCCTTTTGTCTTCGTGCCTTTCACCGATCGAAACGTCTTCGTGAGGAGATGTGCCTTTGGCTTGCGGCGCCGTGATGATCGGGTGCTGTGCCTTAGGCCATACCCGCCCGCTACGCCAAACATGGCCGCAGTCTCTCTGCTGAGAAGCAGGACAGCATCGAAAGAAGAGGCACCGGCATCACTTTGAGCAGATAGTCCGCGTGCCACTGCGAAGTCTCTGGCGTCAGCGCGGCGCTTGACCTCTCCAGCACGCAAGCGTGCATGGCGCCGGCTTCTGAGGCCTTGCCTTGCCTGAGGAACATGCAACCTCGTGGAAAGTGTACGTCGCGTCCAGCTAAAATGCCGACTGCACCACGCTCAGCTGTTCTTGCTGTGCGTTTTCCTGGGTGCCTTTCACGGCTCGGAGCCTCTTCGTGAGGAGATAGCACCAGCGGCAAACGCTTGCTCTTGTGAGTTTGTCGTGCTGTTGTGTGACAGTCCTGCAACCACTCAAGTCGGAGGTTGTGCGTGGTTGTGCATTCAGCATTGGCAGCGAAGACGTCGATGGCACCAGGATGTTCCGTTCCCAGCTTTCGCCGGTTTCGCTTGCCGTTCCTGTGATCCGGGGCGTGCCTTGGCCGGGCGTTGTCCCTCGCAGTGTGCGTTGACATCGTGCAAGTGCGCGCGGCAATCGAGTTTCGCCGCTAGGGTGTCCGCAGGACGTTTCCCAACGCCACTTGCCGCAGAGCAAAGTGACAAACGCAGCAAGACGATTGAGGCTGCCTCCAGCACCCATTTGAGTCAGCCGGAGGGCGTGTGCTCTGGCACATATGCAGATGACTTGTAGTTGCGGCAGCATGACTGTCCGCGGCATGCCGGCAGCACCACATTGTTGTGGCAAGCTAGTGCAGCTAGTGCTGTGCGGCAGGCAAACATTGACTTAAGAGGCTCGTCTTTCTTGGTTGCCCTTGCTCAGGTGACCTGAAGCAGAAGGTTGTGGCATCAGCTGGTGTGCCTTTTGTCTTCGCGCCTTTCACCGATCGAAACGTCTTCGTGAGGAGATGTGTCTTTGGCTTTCGGCGCCGTGATGATCGGGTGCTGTGCCTTAGGCTATACCCGCCCAAACATGGCCGCAGTCTCACTGCTGAGAAGCAGGACAGCAGACACTAGGCACGTGGTGCCGGCAGCACCACACTGTTGTGGCAACCTACTGCTGTGCGGCAGGCAAACATTGACTTAAGAGGCTCGTCTTTCTTGGTTCCCCTTGGTCAGGGGACCTGAAGCAACGTGCGGCTGCCTCGTGTAAGATCGTCCGGGCACCATTAAGAAGATTATGGCATCAGCTGGTGTGTTTTTTTGGTCTTCATGCCTTTCACCGATCGGAACGTCTTCGTGAGGGAGATGCGTCTTTGGCATTTGGCGCCGTGATGATCGGGTGCTGTTAGGCTATACCTGCCTACTACGCCAAACATGTCCGCAGTCTCACTGGTGAGAAGCAGGACAGCAGGCACTAGGCACGTGGGTCTGTCTTGCGGCTCCCGTTGCCCAGGGGGCGGGAAACATGCAGCTGCTTCGGCATCACTTTGAGCAGATAGTCCGGGTGCCAAAGAGGCTCTGACGTCAGCGCTGCTTGACCTCTTCATCGCGCAGGCGTCCTTTCACCGATCAGAACGTCTTCGTGAGGAGACGTGCCTTTGGCTTGCGGCGCCGTGATGATCGGGTGCTGTGCCTTAGGCTATACCCGCCTGCTGCACAAAACATGGCCGCAGTCTCTCTGCTGAGAAGCAAGACAGCATCGAAAGAAGAGGCACCGGCATCACTTTGAGCAGATAGTCCGCGTGCCACTGCGAAGGCTCTGGCGTCAGCGCGGCGCTTGACCTCTCCATCGCGCAAGCGTGCATGGCGCCGGCTTCTGCTGCCTTCGCCTACTAGCCGGAGGGCGTGACTGCACCAATGTTGTGACAAGCTACTGCTGCGATGCAGGCAAACATTGGCATAGATTCCCTTGAGAGGCGCATCGTTCTAGGTTCCACCCAGAGAACACTGCGTCAGACTTGACTCCTTAAGGGCCCCAACTCAAGCGCCCTCCCATTCAGCGCATCAGAGCATCGGTCCGCAGACCCCTTGCTCTCCCTTGAGCCTCGGAGTCCCAAGAGCTCAACAAGCCCTCCGCAGTGCAACAGAACCGTTCTGTTACAAAGAGCAGAGGGCTTTGGAGCGGATTGAATCCTTGAAGGCCAGGGGCCCCTGCGCAGTTCTGAAGGCTCTTGGCACAGCTCAGAGCTTGCACAGCTTGCGCAGCCGAAAAAAGGGTGGGTTTGCCCCAGAGAGAGAGAGAGAGAGAGAGAGAGAGAGAGAGAGAGTGGGAGAGAGAGAGGGAGAGGGGGAGAGGGAGAGGGAGAGGGAGAGGGGGAGAGAGAGCGATTTCAGGGGACCCTCGAAATCCTTCTCGCGCATCTGGACAGGGGATTTTTGCCGGGGGGGGGGGGGGGAATCTGGCGCGGCGCAAGAGGGGTATTGAGCCATGGCATATGTTGTCATATTGTTACAGACTGCAGAGCAATATCAGCAGAATGATACAGCATCGGCCGATGCCGTAATCAGGGCTTCTATGCTTTCCACTTCTTCTTGGAGGTTCATGGTACTTCTTAACCAATGATAACTGTACTTATATCTGTACTTATAACCATCTTAGGGCACTTCAGGGGCTGATAAGAGGGTTATAAGCACAGCTATAGTTGGTTAGAAGTACCCCAAAACCCTAAACCCAAAACCCAAAACCCTAAACCCTAAACCCTAAACCCTAAACCCTAAACCCTAAACCCTAAACCCTAAACCCTAAACCCTAAACCCTAAACCCTAAACCCTAAACCATAAACCCTAAACCCTAAACCCTAAATCCTAAACCCTAAACCCTAAACCCTAAACCCTAAACCCTAAACCCTAAACCCTAAACCCTAAACCCTAAACCCTAAACCCCTAGTACCTCTATAGTTGGTTAATATGTACCATGCACCATGAACCTCCAAGTTCTCCATGTTCCTCCAGGTCTGAGCTTGTGCTTCTACGGAGACAGGTGCCGCAAGGTGAGGGTTAAGCGTTTAGGGTTTAGGGTTTCGGGTTTAGGGATTAGGGTTCTGCATCTCAAGTCCAAGCATTCACTAGTCAAGCGTTGGAAAACACCCACCCGCCCAAGAAACCCATAACATCGAAACTCGCGAGATTAGGAGCCAAGGATCCGGCCAACAGTGGCCGATTCCAGGTGAGTGTTAAAAACAGCAGAAGCCCTAAACCCTATGCCCCAGACCTAGAGCCCTAAACCTAGGGGCCCTCAACCCTATGCCTCGACTGAAAGTTTCCCGATGACCGTGTGTTTTTTGGGACGAATGCTCCGTGAGTTACTGGCGAGGGTGGGCGGGGGGGGGGAGGGGAAGGGGAGCGGCGGGGTGGGGGGAACCTACAGTACCATTTTGGCATGAGTTGTTACAATTAGAGATCGCTCCAGCTGTTTCATCAGTTAAATGACCATTCCTACGCTTCAGAATTGTTATTTCTTTCCACATAAGCTGAGAGAATTAGCTTATCCTTTCGCCTTTTCATGAATGAAAACTCATTTAGTCGCGCATGTCCTGTTCAGCTTGTTTTGGCTCCTAGCGAGCTCACCCCAAATCCAGAGACATAATGCTTTGACAACGTACGTGAAACGGTCGCAGTTGCAGACGTATCACATACGGCTGGCCTAGTAAGAACAAGATTATGAAGGCTTAAGAGAAAGGGTCAAGGCTGGCGTTTCGGGACGTTTTTGCTGGCTGAGATACATGGCCTGGAACGGATTCCACGTGAGAAGATGTCTGTACAAACGCGGGAGAGCTCTGAAATACGGCCGTGGACAAATGAAGGCGCTCCGCTCTCCGGTATTCCCGGACGTCTTTTGTTTTCCTCGTTTTGAATCGCATGGCCTCATCCATGCGGTTTCGCTTTCTCGCAAAATCCCAGCTTCGCTACGCAGCCAAACCGCTTTTCCTGGCCTACTTCTTGGAAGTAGGCGTTTCTTGGCCTGTTTGCTTATTTGCGTTTGTGGAGTTGCTGGCTGTTGTTCAGGTGTGTCGACACGGAAGCCGCACGCAGGTATTGCTTGCTGATAGGGCTACTTCTCTCTGAGTCCCTTTTTTTCCTCGCCGAAGAAGTCGACCCCTCTTGAGGGGAGCAAAACCTGCGTGCTACCACCCCCCCCCCCCCCCCCCCCCCTGTGTGCCGGTGTGCCGCCGTTGGGCTCCCAGCTTCCGCGCCGCAGCCGAGCAGACGAAGCGCGTCTCGTCCCAAGCCTAATTTGGGGGGCTGTTAGGCCGCTGAAGGAGACGAGAAGGGCTTTTTGGGTTTC